TACAGGGTAGCTACATCGAATGTGCTATGCAAAGCATGTTACTGGCACATTAAATTTGGCGAGAAAATGCCAATCAAAGAATGTGATAAAAGCTACCGAAAAATGTGCGCATAGGAACGTGCATAGTTTTAGGAACTCCTATAGAATGCATGCATATACACATATATATATTTACTTGAATAAACATAATTGCCCAAGTTAAAGTGTAGAATTAGTTTAAAAATATGAAATTACGAACTTGATTTTATGCAGTTGAGATACGTCCAAGCACTCAGATTAATCAAGTGTTCAAGGGGGCAAATATAAACAACTTCAGCAGCGACTTGAATAGCTGCTGCAACGTTTAATAGTCGTTGAGCATCTGCTTAACCTACTCGGCCTCAGTTGTAAGTTGTAATTGGCCATCAATAACAGACAAGCACATGCCTTGGAGCGATTTACGAGGCAGCGAAGGATGTGCTTAGCAAGGCGAGGAGGAACTGAAGTCGGGAAATAAGACTCAAGTATCTGCAATGCTCCATTTAATCAACAAGTTTTACGCTGAACGCATGTGTAAGTGTGTGTGTGTGTGCGCGTGTGTAATCATGTTTAAGAAATATCTCATATCCTGTCGAGTCTTACAATTTCTTAGAATTCATTTGCGTTCCTGTTCTGATTTCCTTTCCATTCTTATTATGTTTGTTTGACGATTCTTGTCCTAGCAATGAATTGATTCCATTCTTTTGTATTGTATTCCATTTACTTCTTTTTCTTGTCCTTGCCCTTCTCTTTCTTTTCCTCCTTGGCTGGGCACGAGTTGAAATAGCCGCCGCTTTTCATGCGATCAAATGCATCCAATGGATCGTAGTGTGTATAAAATTGTTGATATTTCATCTTACGTGGCGCATTGTGAAGCACGTAGAACAGAAGCGGGGCCAATATTGACAAATAGCAAGCAGTCCTCAAAATGCCCAACGTTTTCCGCAAATGTGTGTTGTGCATGGGAAACTTGATGTTTTTCATCTCCTCTGGCTGAATTGGTACAGAATAAAGGGTAAATATATGTATATAATGTATGTATGTACCATTCTTGTTGTTTTTAAGGCCAATTTAATTGATTACTCACAGATGGTGGCGGCGGCTTACAAGCCTACAAAGAAATGGAAATAATTAATAAATATCATTTTTTACAATTTGTTTTTCATATTTTTATTTACCATTTTTGGTTTTGACATTTTGTTAAAGTTTTAAAAATGTCTGTAAGCTCCACAAATATATATGTGAACTGAATAATTTGAATTGTTTTAAGTGAGACCTAAAGAAAAACCTACTTAGGCAAGATATTTTTTTTTTTTAATAAAAAAACAGAAAGGAACTTTCATTTCAAGTGTACAACTATTTTTTTTTAACGACAATGTATTTAATAAAATTATATAAATATTTCTCATAGTTAAAATATTATGCTTTAATATTAAATTAAGCAAGAAGAAAAAAAACGCATAAAAATAAAAGAAAGAATATAGAAAATAGTAAAGGATTATACATATGAATTAATTTTTAAAAATTAATTTTAAATTAATTTTGTTTAACTTGTGTTTAGTTAAACATTTTGTTCGTATTATTATAATTTTTAAAATATTATATTTATGCAATTTACCAGCAAAAATTATATAAACAAAATATAAAGAAAATGATTTATGGAATGTATAGAATATAAATGTGGATTATATAATTTATAAATAAAAAATATATTAATAAGGACACTCAAAATATTCTCAGCGCAACAGTCAATGGTCAAGTCGATATGATTGATTGTAGCACTTCTTGAAGGCAAATAGCTCATCGGACCGCAATTATGTGGTGAAGGGGGTAAGCAATTTGTCTCGATTGTAGACAGTCAAGCGTGAAATAAACGAAAGCAATTAGTTGAATATTTCCAACAAGAACCAAGGGAAAGAGGAAACAGAAGAGCAAATTTAACAAGAGTGTCAATTAAGTAAAGTCTGGAATAATCGAAATGCACAAACTATGCTTTTAATA